GAACATCACCCATATGCCTACAGGCTTGCATGTGCAAGTTCCTGTTATAGGTGGTAGGATGTCTCTTATACCTTCGCCATGCTTTGTACTTAGCAGTAGCAGCCTCTCTACAACGAAAGCCAAACCAAGGCTGATCTGTAGGCTTTGTCACATATTGCCGGTGAGGAATGTGTTCTTGTTGCAGATTAAGGATGTGTCCAGTGAAGGCTTTCACTTGGTTGTCAACATCCCCCTGGAGAAGAGCATTCCAGTCGGTGGTGGCGAGCTCAGAGCAAAGGGCTGGCCAATTACCTCTTTCCCATAGCCAGGTTGTGCGTGTGGACTCCTCACCTCGTTCTGTTGGGATCTTAAGTGTGGTAAAAACAGCCTTGTGGTCAGACGATCCAACGTAGCCGAGGGTTGACAAGTGACTATGCCTTCTGCCAGATCACTCACTACTGGGTCAAGGGAGGAGCCAGAGATATGAGTAGGGAAATCAACAAAGTTTCTCATGTCAAACACTGCAAGAAGGTCATCAAAGTCCCTCTGTATAAGGTGCTGGTTGAGGTCACCAACAATTATAATATGTTGACAGTTGTGTTGTAGCAGAAGGGAGTCAATATTTTCCATTAGGAAGTTGATAGGGTCTGCATGTTGCCACTGAGGTCTGTACATTGCACATGCTAGTACAGAGGTACTAGTGTTTATACAGAGCTTGAAGAACATCATTTCAAGATGTGTAGGGGTGGCAACATCTATGTGCTGGGCATGAACACTTTTAGAGAAGCACACAGCAACACCACCTCCTTGCCCTTGCCTGTCTCTTCTCATCCATGAGGTGTAGCCAGCAATTCTTGCAAAATTTTCTGGAGTCCTGTCATCCAAAAATGTTTCAACAACAGCTATCATGTCGGGACGTCGAGTGTTCACAAAGCTATGTGTGAGCTCTCCAACATTAGTAATGAAACCTCTAATGTTGGCCGACAGGATGCTGATAGACTGGCTCCTCATGATGAAGTGGTCAGCTTGAGGTGGTGGGTGTGTAGGGAATGTAAGGTGCCTGCCCTTGAGAGAGGTAGGGTACTGAGGCAGCTGCAGGGATGTAGGTCTGTGGTCTTGTATAAGGCCCAATCCCACCTGATGGGCTGGGATAGGAGTAGCTAAGTGGGTGACGTGTGAGAGTGTTTACCAATTCAGAGATCCTGCTGGTTTGTTCTGAGAACAGGTCTCTAAACAGGTGGCCCTGTCTGTCAAGTTCCTTTTTCTTCCGACACTGGTCCTCCTTATGTCCTTTCTTGTAGCAGTAGTTACACCTGGTATCTCGCAGGCAGTTGTTGGCAGAGTGCCCCTTCCGGTGACAGCGAGAGCACAGCCTAGGTGCCTGGGAGGGTGGACTAGGATTTGTTGTACCTCCTGTGTCTCTATCTATCCTGTTTTCTCTATCTATCTCTCTCTCCCCTCTCTCTCTCTCTCTCCCCTCTCTCTCTCTCTCTCTCTCTTCTCTCTCCTCTCTCTCTCTTCCCCTCTCTCCCCTCTCTCTCTCTCTCTCTCTCTCTCTCTCTCTCTCTCTCTCTCTCTCTCTCTCTCTCTCTCTCTCTCTCTCCTCTCTCTCTCTCCTCTCTCTCTCTCTCTCTCTCTCTCTCTCTATATATATATATATATATATATATATATATATATATATATATATATATATATAATGGAACATTTCTCGAGCAGTCACATGAAACATAAACATGCATAAAGTTTTAGTAATCAGAATAACTTGTTTGACAATTTTAATTTAACGTATTTGTTTTATAATTTAGACTGACACAATATTAAATTTAAAATTAATTAAAATCTAAATAAATTATAATATGAGCGTCTTGGCGAGATACTGTAGTCAGTAAGGTCCCTTGGGGGGGGGGGGTGGGGGTGGGGGTGGGGTGGGGGTGGGGGCCTTGATGCTGATGATGGGTTCTTGTTCTAGGGAACTGATCTACTCTCCCCTTGCTTTGACGAATGTCCTGATTACCTCCCATTTACCCATAGGCTTTATGATCCCCCCTACGGGTTTAGTGCTTGCCCATGAATATATAAACAGTAAGGTAATGTAAGAGTAGCCTTGCCGTTTACCTTAAGTAAGCGTAACTGGCGCTCCGATCAACCCCACCCAATGTGTGCCAACCATCAGCCCAGTCGCCCCACGCCCATAAAGGCCCACGGGCGTAGTCGCAGTCATGGGCACGTTGTGGGCGGTCCTCGGAGTGAAAGTGAAGAGTATGACTCCCTTCAGTCCGACACCGACACGGAGCACGCCACATCCTCCCGGACCGAATCCTCCATCCACCTGGATTCTGCCACCTTGGAGAGCCAGGCGACGCTTCACCTGCCCCATGATCCTCACCTGGCCACGCTGGAGTGCCGCCCGGACGCCCACGCCGCCCACGGGTCTCGCAAGGCGGCAGCCACCAGGAACGTCCATCACAGTGAGTGCCACAACACACCTTATATACGGCAATCATTCAAGACAGTGAACACAAGTACACACAACCTTGTTATTCTTTTCAAAACATCTACAATTTTATGTTTTCTTAGATTTTCGTTCCCCAAAATTTTGCAAACTAGATGTAAGAGATTTAAACCCAGGTGAACCACACACCTGTACGCCTTGTCATTGTGGCTGTATACATATAGTATAAATTCGAGTGTCCATGAGGTCTTGATTACACAGTGTTATGGGGATGAAGAAACCCACTTGAAGACATAAAATAAGAAAGACAGGAAGTTGTATATTTCGACCTCTTAGTGGGTTTCTCTCTTCCCATTTTCTATGCGTTCATTACACTACCAACATTGAACACAATATTACCTTCATTAGTTTGAGATCTTGGTTTAAGTTTCTCGCAAATTATACATACTTCTTCACCAGTTGAACTAGTAATTCCTCGGCAGATCTCATCTACCACGCGCCGGAGTCCAGCACTTCGACTGAACCTTCACCCATCTTGGAGAGAAAGTCTTTTCCGCGTAAGACGGAGGGTAGCAAAGTGTCTCGGGTTGGGGCCTTCAGCAACCGCGGTCTCAACAAAATGGCTGCAAGTATAAGAGGAGCAACTCAGGAGACCAGCCTTTCCTTTCCCAAGAAACCTGGCCCCGGCCCTGAAGCGAAAAGCTCAGACGATGGCAAATATGGGTTCACAAGGAAGATTACACCACCAGTAGGGTTCTCCAGCAGTCACAACGAGCTGTCGGAGGCGGAGTGTGATCTTGAGATCACAAAGAGGAACAATGAGGGTGAGGCTGCTTCTGGGGCATACATTGGTCATTCCAGGTCCCAGTTTAGGTCGTATGTATCTGGACGAAATAATAAAGATTACAGTATTAAGGTATAATTAGGCTTCATCTATTAGTCCACTGATTGTAAATAATTTAAAAATAAGTCTTTTAAGGATATTGTTTTTACAGAGAATTGCAACAAAAAACAAACACACTACAGTGTTTGTTTGGATGGTGAGGCAGTCTTACATTGGTACCATAATATGAAAACTTAGTTCTTGATATAGTGAGAATAGTGGAATTCTAAATGTAAATATTATAATAGTAATCGAATATTTGCAATGTATTTGGTCTCAGAGAATATAGAGTAAAGTTTTGAATTTTTCAGATTTGTAAAATATTTTTCAGTTCAATTATGATAAAAAGTTTATATGGAAATAGTAGCCAAAATGTTTTGCCAGATCAAATTTTTTTGATCTTACTATCAAAATGGATAATATTGTGTGTGTGTGTGTGTGTGTGTGTGTGTGTGTGTGTGTGTGTGTGTGTGTGTGTGTGTGTGCGCTTGTGTGTACTCACGTATGAGTGGTTGCAGGAGTCAACCATAAATGCTCTTAATTCCATGAATGTCAGTTGTGGCAGCCTCGTGTCAGAAGCCAGACGCAGGTATGGTAGGATTGTAGACAGTGGAGTCAAAGTACCCTTTATGTGGATTCCTGGCCTCGCGTGTGTGTATGTATGTGTGTGAGTGAATACACACCTATATATGGTTGCAGGGGTTGTGTGTGTGTGTGTGTATACACCTATAATTACATGGTTGCAGGGGTCGAGTGTGTGTGTGCTCATACGTATTTGAGTGTGTTTTGATGACATCACATAGACATACATCAACCACATGGAGGCAACATAAAATGAGTTTATTCTCAGGATAAAATTATCGATCATTTCCAACTGTACTTCCATTATAGAAGCCAGTTTCTGTGAAAACTAAATTAAAAGTGTTATAATTATGAAGGACTCCCAGTCCTCCATCGTCTCTTACGAAGTGTCTAAAAGAACGAGAGTCAAGGAATAGCTAAGTTTTGTAATATTTTTTACGAGAGAAAATTATGTCGAAAATAATATACTCGACATACTGCATATAACCAAGCGCTGTAAATATTATTTGAGTCCCTGTTGATGTAGTACAATATTTCATGTTTCCTGGCCCAGTTTTTATATATTCCTTCGTTATTTTGTGACTCGTGTATTTGGCATTAGTTTTCTACTGTAACGCGAAAAATATCTTGAAGGCGATGTTTGTGTTGACGTTTTTGTAACCCTTTTGTATCCGGAGGCAGGGAGATGTAACTGTTTTAACTGTATGATATTGAGTGTTCTTAATGTTCCAGTGATATTGTCAGTTGCTATCAAACATCACAGTTGGGCTCCTTATTATCATGTGTCATTGTTTTATAAATATAGACATGACTTATTTAGGTTTTCATTATCCCTCATGTTGTAAATTCCCTTATGTGTGTGTGTGTGCGTGTGTGTGTACTCACCTACTTGTACTCACCTAGTTGAGGTTGCGGGGGTCGAGTCCGAGCTCCTGGCCCCGCCTCTTCACTGATCGCTACTAGGTCACTCTCCCTGAGCCGTGAGCTTTATCATACCTCTGCTTAAAGCTATGTATGGATCCTGCCTCCACTACATCGCTTCCCAAACTATTCCACTTACTGACTACTCTGTGGCTGAAGAAATACTTCCTAACATCCCTGTGATTCATCTGTGTCTTCAGCTTCCAACTGTGTCCCCTTGTTACTGTGTCCAATCTCTGGAACATCCTGTCTTTGTCCACCTTGTCAATTCCTCTCAGTATTTTGTATGTCGTTATCATGTCCCCCCTATCTCTCCTGTCCTCCAGTGTCGTCAGGTTGATTTCCCTTAACCTCTCCTCGTAGGACATACCTCTTAGCTCTGGGACTAGTCTTGTTGCAAACCTTTGCACTTTCTCTAGTGTGTGTGTGTGTGTAGGACAAGCCACGGCGAGGGGGAGGGGGGTGAAAATCTGTAGCTCCAGTACTTTCACATTTCTCAGTGCATCATAAGCTGTGCAATGTTGCAAGGAGCAACGAAAGCAGGGTGAGAGGTCTCAGAGTAACGTAGGTGTCACAGTCCACGGTATATATATATATATATATATATATATATATATATATATATATATATATATATATATATATATATATATATATATATATATATATATATACTCTAAGGTGATACCTCACTCAGAATAGGTAACAACTCACCCAGGTTACATCTCATAAAGTGGGATGGTACGTCAAATTACACTGCAGGAAGCCTATTGGTCCACAGTTTCAACAATAAATAATAGTAAAACATTTTCCAGTAAAAGAATAGATTGCAAATAAGTCAAACCTCTAACTGAATTAAAAATTATATCGAATCAATGAGAAAGAAAAAAAAAGTTAGTTAAATAGATAATTCAAATTAAATTGAATTAAATTACCTATACAATTTACCCACTCAGGTAACCTAACATATATATATAATTGTCTACCTTAATTTTTAAAGGGATGGATTGGCAAGCCAGTGAAAGACCTCGGTTAGATGATCTAAATCTTCAGTTGAAGGTTGTCATATGACTAAGACCCGCCTCAGGAAACAATTGTCTTGTTTCCTGACAAATGTTACTTAACCTAACATTTAGGATTCTTAACCGCAGCCGTGTCTCCATTTTTCCCCATGGCCTGACTTGCCGTCCGGCTTTCTTCCATTTTGTCTTTCACTCACGATTTAATAATGGTCTATAACGAGTCGAAACATCGTACAGTTTTCATTTCCAGTTTTTAGGTTAGTTTTGAATTGTTCAGGCATGGTTTTGTGTCTTTTATTCTCTAAGCAGAATACAGAACGATAGCTACATAATGCACTTTTATACATGCACAATACAAAGCGTAATGTCATTATACAAGAGATAAATTCCGAAAACGGAAACCTGAAACATGACAAAAACATCCTTCCAACAGATACTAAAACCCTTGGGAAATGGAGCAATCGTACGCACAAATTCCCGAAACATATGGGCAAATATATTCATTAGGGAAAACCAAGGATCACAGAGCACGTAGTTTCTTGCTCCAGCACCTCAGTGTTGCGAGCGAGAGAGAAAATGCCATTTTGCATTCTAGGCTCATTAACTACCTCCTAGGAACTGCCTTAAGCCTACTTAACTGCAAATGTTAATAACTATATCAATGTGTGCGTGATATAAGCATTTATCGAACTATACTAAGAAAAATAAAATATTTGTAAACAATAACAAGAATGTTAAATGTGAAGTACAAGGAAAACATTTAAATGATTTGAAGTAAAAGAGGCTAAATTATTTCCCTGAAGCCTGTTTATTCTCTTTTCTGAGTTATGGGCCCCTTACAGCAAGGTTATGTATGTATATGTGTATGTATACGTACTTGGCGAACGCATACACCAAGAAATATTCTAAATGGGTATGTAATGCCACGAGGCACAGATACTATGCTAAGATACAAATTTGTTTACACAGAACCATTACTGACTACATATCTCCCAAACAGTGGGTTGTGTCAAGTCACAACGTATCTCCCAAACAGTGGGCTTCAAGTCACAACACATCGCCCAACAGTGAGTTTTATCAAGTCAAAGACAGATAAATCTGCTAAGGGAAGGTGAGCAAATAATCAACTATAGTTCCCACAACTCCCTTTAATAAATTCGAACAGCTTACTGATAATTTCTCAAGAGGACGACGTTCAAAGAAGATAATCTGAAGCTGTCAGCTTCAGCATTTTCAGTCTCAACTACAGCGGCAGCTTCCACATGTACTAAATAAAGGGGTGAATCTGACAGGTGGTAAACAGATTACTTAATGTAGTGACTTCTTTATTGGTACTAATGGAGACCTCTTCGCTGCATTAATTAAGCGTTTACCGAATGCTTTCCACACTTTAGCTCAACCTGGTCAGACTACAAAAAGCTCTAGTGGCGGGTCATCATGTGACTAAGACCCGAGTCAGGAAACGCTGGTCCTGTTTCCTGACAAACTTTACCTAACCTAACCTAGCTCAACCTCATGCCAGAAAACTCCTAAAAAATCAGTGATCTCTTGTGTACCTCACTTGTTTTTGTGTTTTTTCACCTCGTCTTTACAGTCTGCTGTTCATTTGTTCACCCTCCTTTACCAGGTACATCTGTTCATGGCTTGATGAAGTCTGCTGCGTGGGTGAAAAATTGTTTCACCACCACCAGGTGTCATATGTATTTACAAAGGAAAGGGTTCTCAGCGCATATACACCGAGAGGTGTTCTCAGTGTTTACTGTAATTACTACCACAAGGGTTAAAGTTTCTTGATGCTGGTGTACATGTGAACAGAGATCCTAGTGACTCACGTGTAGCTAAATTCCTTTTTATCTAAACTCACTCATTCTGCAGACTAATTTCAACATTACTGACCCATTTATAGTCCTTTAATTAACATTAAATCTAACTCAGGGAGAGAGAGCGCAGGGAATTCATATTTTTAAATTCATTTATGATTTACACTTTTAGTTGCTAATTATCCACATTATATATATATATATATATATATAATATATATATATATATATATATATATATATATATATATATATATATATATATATATATATATATATATATATATATATATATATATATATATGTATTCATACAATTTCACAAGGTGTCCATATATTGTGTGTTAGAGCAAAAATCTAGGTTCCTAAAAACATGACTGCAAACAAAGTTTAATTCGTCTTAGTAACGCCACATCTGTCAGCAGGATGTCATTTCAAACATCTTAACGCCAAAATTTTTAGTAGTTTTAATCGAGTTTCGAATGGTCGGCGTTTGGAATTTGTGTTCAATCGCGTACGGTGATGACGAGGTCCTGTTTCCTGGCGAAGTGGAAGAAGGGATTCTTAGGGTCATGGCGGAGGTCAAGCAACTTGCCAGGAACATGGGAGATGTTGAGAGTCTGCAGTATGATCGTGGAGAAGATGAGCATCTCAGTACGTCCCAGGGACTCGCCAAGACATATTCGCTTCCCTGGGAAAAGTAAAATCACAACTGTATGTACACAAAAAAAAAAATCGCATATACAATGCATTAATATGAAAACGTGCATTGAAAATAAACGAGGAAATACTCTTAATTTAACAAATTTTACCTTTGTTCTGTGATATTAATTTATTCTATTTTATATTCTCATAAATTCATGCATTTTTTATATAATGAATGAAGGGCTGTCTTTACTAAGATTGTGAATCACGAAATTAATGTACATGAAATTAATGTAAATTCCGAAAAAAAAGATACATTCTTTGCGAGAACAAAATTCTTACAGTAACAGGGCCACAAGGAAACAATATTATCTATAAACATGAATTCAACAGCCCACTGGAAGCACCACGAAAAGGTCTTAAAGCCAAACATCTCCTGAGGATTGTATTAATGTTGGTAGAATTATCGACAACATGTAAAGTAAAAGGACACAAGTGCAACTAATGTGACATTTTATTGTGGCAACGTTTCGCTCTCCAAGAGCTTTGTAAGCCGTTACAAACAATATATGGAAATAGAGGGTATATATAGGCTTAGTATTGCACCTCACTAAGCCTATATATACCCTCTCTGTCCATGTATTGGAGAGCGAAACGTTGCCACAATAAAATGTCACATTAGTTGCACTTGTGTCCTTTTTACATCGCCTGAGGATTATGGCGTTTGGGGGGCAATAAACCTACAAACTGACGGAAAAGACACAGTATAGTCGACACTTCGTCCACGAATGTGCTATATTCACGAGCGTCACGACGTCGAAGATGCAGGATTCTTTCCTATTACGTGTCGTTTTCCCCTCAAGAGGAATGTGTTGAAGCCACTCACCTATGCCGAAAGGAAGGAAGCCTTCCTTCTTGGAGACGAACTTGCCCTCGGAGTCAAGCCAGCGTTCCGGCAGGAATTCGTCAGGATGGTCCCAGTAACGTGGGTCGTGATGGATGGCAGCGGTAGCACTAGTCACTACTGTGCCCTGGAAAGTTCCAGGAACATGTGCATCAAATCTGGCTCTCAGTTTAATAATACTTTTAAAAAGTATCAACATATTTAGTATTAATATTCTATTACGAAAATTTCACTGACAACTCTTCCTCAAATTGAAAATGAAAACTTGGCGTTTCGGTCAGTCCTGGAACAATACACAAAACTCGCAAATAGGAGAGAAGCTTATGACTGTTTCGGTTCGACTTGGACCATTTACAAGTCACACTAACACAGGAAGGTGAGGGAGTCAGTATATATAAGCGAGGGGGACAGGAATGGGACAAAGAGGAAGAAACAAGGAAGTGGAGAAATAGTGGTAGAGGTAATTCTGAAACCATTATCAACTTCAGGACGTTCCTAAAAGAAGTCAAATTTTCATTTACGCGTTGAAGGTTAGAAGGTTAGTCCGAACTATATTTAGATAATGGCGTAGACATTACTTTGGGGATGCTGTAGCCACCCAGGCGAGTGTCTGTTACTGTCAGGTGTGGCACTCCAACATACGTCTGGGAGGACTTGCGTAGAACCTCGTGTAGGAACGCGTCCGTGTACGGCAGCCTGCAAACCAGCATAACAGTAATTAATATTTTAATAACTATGGTTAAAAAACCATAAGGATTACCCACAAGGACTGGAGAGTAACTCCAGTTTCCCGGATCAAGAGCTTTTCACCAGCCACCATGTACCCCTTGTGAAGAGGACCCCCCCCCAAGAATACAATTTAAATTAATACTATAAATGTATACTTGTAGCTTTTGTAATACAAAATAATTGTTAATGTTTATGTAAAATAGGCATGTAAAGACACGACATTGTTACCTGAACACGTCAGTGGTACATGAACACGTCAGTGGTACCTGAATACGTGAATGCTACCTGGACTTGTCCTGGAGTGTAGCCAAAGTGCCCTTAGGAAGCACCTGGTCAATCTCCGCCTGCACCTTCTGCTGCACCTCCGGGTAGGTGGCCAGGTAGTACAACATCCAGGTCAAGGTACTGGTCATTGTCTCGCTCCCAGTGACGAACAGGTCAAATGTCAAAAATGCCAAGTCCTTTTCTGGAAACAAAACAAAATAATTTCATTAAGCAAATATAAATGTTGCCTAAAGACAAGTATGCATTTAAGCGCCTAACATTTCGGCTCGCTTAAGAGGGAAATTGCTTAGTAAAATTAAGAATAACACAGTTCAGTTATCCACAAGAGTTGGTCCTTTCGAGAGATGAGCCTTTAAGGCTGCTGAAGGGTTCTTAATTCAGGAAATTACCGTCATTCATCCCATCTGAATATCATGTCTAATTTGCCGTTCATTCTTCATGCCCTGTATAGTCCCGATGGCTTAGTCCTTCGTAAAAATAATAATAACACAATAGTGGTAGTTGCCACAGCAGTCGTCTTTGGATCACTAGTTCAGTCATCGACCAGAGTCGTGTCCTCGTGGGTGGTATTATTATCTCCGTACTATGAACCATCCAGGCATAAATTCTGGATCTCCAATATGTTCAAAGCGCAGTGTTCCTTCACAAGGGCTGAGCATCCCTTGAAAAAGAAGCACTGCAGTCGACTGTGAATCCTTAAACGCTAACATTCCACCTACACTGGGACGAACTGGTAGGTTATATACTTACCAGTTCCGGATCTATACATATATATATATATATAATATATATATATATATATATAATATATATATATATATATATATATATATATATATATATATATATATATATATATATATATATATATATAATATATATATATATATATATATATATATATATATATATATATATATATATATATATATATATATATAATATATATATATATATATATATATATATATATATATATATATAATATATATATATATATATATATATATATATATATATATATTATATATATATATATATATATATATATATATATATATATATATATAAGTCACAGCTGCATAAAGAACATTCTAAAATGTCGCATTTAGAAGTCAAATGTATGTGAAGGGTTTATGGTTCCAGGTTCGAAAATTCTTCAACAACAACAAAAAATGGGTTAAGTGTATGCACTACTGCCTATTTTCCCTTCTAGCATTCTCAGTACTTACCGCTGAAGGTAGATTCAGGGTCCTTCTTCCTGTCTTCTATCTCAATCAAGTAACCATCTATCAGGTCCCTCGGGTTGTTTCGGTCCAGCGTGGCTTTGTGCTTTTCGATCTCTTCCTGAAGAATACAAGATACACCAGCTGAAGGAGGAAATTTTTACAGCTCGTGGAGGAAGTTCTTCTTACACCAGGTGAGGGAGGGATTTCTGACACCAGGTGGAAGAGAAACTTCATATAACAAGTGGATGATGCACCTCTTACAACAGGTGGAAGAGGCACCCACAATAATTGTAAAAATTTAAATCCATTATTATATAAGCCACACATTTGAAACTGTACAACCCATAATACTTTAAAAGCTGTAATCAGCCCTTAAACACTCATAACAATGAGAATTTGTCACAGAGATAAAGCACTTGAGCTGAGTGTCTGCACCCAGGGTCACGGAAGACTACGACGTGGTGCAGCTTGGTAACTCCTGGGTAAACTAGCTTTCTTGTCACACCAGTTAGTCCACTCTTTACTCAGCCTCACCAGTCAGTTCATAATGCTTGTCTAGCCTCACCAGTCATTCAACTATGTTCATGAAGCCTTTCCAGAGAATCCACTACTTATACTCAGCCTCACCACTCATGCCACTTTCTATACCTAGCCTCACCATCATTCGACTACGTTTATACAGTCTCTCCAGTCAACCTGCTGCGTATACCCAGCCTCACCAGTCAGTCAACTTTGTTTAACTACCCCCAGCAGTCAGTCCACTCTACCTTCTCCGATTTCTAGCAATGTTTCACTGCTGTTACACTTCCATGCATTAAGTAAAATACTATAAATATACTTACTCCATGGGAAGGTGGAACAGAATTCTTCCTCAAGCCATGAATGTCGTAAGAGGCGACTAAAATGCCTGGAGCAAGGGGCTAGTAACCCCTTCTGTATATATTACTAAATTTAAAAAGAGAATTTTAGTTTTTCTTTTTAGGTCACCCTGCCTAGGTAGGATATGGTCGGTTCGTTAGAAAAAATATACTTACTTAGTATTCTGCAGTACAATTTACATTATCCAATTCCGAAAGAATCGTGAATTAAGAGATTGTTTCGTTGGAATAACTTGGAAGTACTCACGAAAAAGAAGTTTAAAAATTTCTTCTTGGACTTCAAGAGAAGATCTTCCTTAAAGAACTTCTTCCTCAAGAAGCCAGGAAGGAAGCACCTAAGCCAAGGGAAGAAGTCCGGGATAGCCATCACGCTCACCACATCCATCAGAGACTCGACGGTTGCTTCAAACTCCTTCAGCTTGTTGTCTGTCATCTCGAAGTCCTTTCCTGCAGGGAAATTATGATGATTTGTGTGACTGCAATGAAACACTAACGCGCATGCGCATACACACACACACACACACACACACACACACACACACACACACACACACACACACATATGGGCGTCTGGCAAACCTGAGAATAGCGTTCCGATACCTTAGTAAGGAATCGTTCAAGACACTGTACACCGTTTACGTCAGGCCAATACTGGAATATGCAGCACCTGTTTGGAACCCACACTTGATCAAGCACGTAAAGAAATTAGAGAAAGTGCAGAGGTTTGCGACAAGGTTAGTTCCAGAGCTAAGGGGAATGTCCTACGAAGAAAGGTTAAGAGAAATCGGCCTGACGACACTGGAGGACAGGAGGGTTAGGGGAGACATGATAACATCATACAAAATACTGCGTGGAATAGACAAGGTGGAGAGACACAGGATGTTCCAGAGAGGGGACACAGAAACAAGGGGTCACAATTGGAAGTTGAAGACCCAGATGAGTCAAAGGGATGTTAGGAAGTATTTCTTCAGTCATAGAGTAGTCAGGAAGTGGAATAGCCTAGCAAGTGAGGTAGTGGAGGCAGGAACCATACATAGCTTTAAGATGAGGTATGATAAAGCTCATGGAGCAGGGAGAGAGAGGACCTAGTAGCAATCAGTGAAGAGGCGGGGCCAGGAGCTGAGTATCGACCCCTACAACCACAATTAGGCGAGTACAATTAGGCGAGTATACACACACACAATGTAAAGAATAACAATTATGATATACAAAATACTCAGGGACATGCATGACAAAATATGAAACCTGAACAAGAGGACATGGATGACAACCTCACACCGGAATGAACCACAACAAGGATATCCCAAAACTTTTCTTCAACATACGACTGCTAAAAAGTATAATAATGAACTACGCAATGATGTTGTAGGAGACTCCATACTGAAGGTAGATACAACAATGGGTGTCATTATTATATTCTCAGGGAAGCACTAAATCAAGTAGGGAAGGGGAGGATATGATGGCTTGTGAAATGTGAGGTAATCAAAATTGATACAAGGAAGAAAAGAATGGCTTTAATTCCTTAGATTAAAGTTCTACAAAAGCATCAAGGCGCCCTTCCTAAAGGCCGGAGAGATACAACAAGCCGAGTAATTGTATCGTGATGGGCGGCACACACGTTGATGGCGTTATTGACTCTCCTAGCATACCAGTGTGCTTCACATCTCGTATGGATACTAGCAAATATGACATCCACCAAATATATATCGCATCCTGCACAGCGAGAAATCTGCAGGAAGAGAGAGAGGTACACAAACACATTAAGATACAAATGCCAAGTGACTATCGTCTGTGTAACTGGTGCAGAGAGGAGGTCACGGAGAGGGCTTGAGCCGGGTAACACTCATGTCGTGTTTCCCAAGTGCATCGATAATGATGGTGGCTGGGTGACCTGTTGACGCTTCATGATACAACAAAGGCGACACAAAGCACAATGAAGGTGAGAAAAAAAAAGAGGAAAGTCATGCAAACTGCGAAGTTTCATGAGGAAGGTGATATAAGTTATATATAGACGGTGACATAAAATACTACTTAGGAAGAGGATATAAGATACAAGGGAAGTGATACAAAATAAAATGAAGAAGATACACATTGAAAGAGAGGGTGCTACCAGTATCAGGGCAGGGGAAAGATTATGCAAGGTACAAGATCAATTTTACAAAGCAGAATCCAAGAGCCTTAAAGCCCAGCCATAATTCTTGCCCCTAAATGTATCCAATGTTACTCACCTGCAACCATCTGCCAAACAACATTGACCACCGAGACGTTGAGGGCATGGGATACAGGAGCAGGCTTGCCTGCCTGGGTCTTGAAATGCTCCACCAGTCGTAAGGCTTGTTTTTGTACCCCCGCCACCAGCCTGGACTTACCCATCCCCAAGTCCTTCAACTGACGCAGGCTGAAGTGCCGGTTATTGTGCCATATCAACCCGTTGCTTGCAAACACTCCTGGCAATGATATTGATGACCTTGAACCAGCAGTTACGTACGAGTTTATTCATGTATTTATTCACAGACCTTTATACTTATACTTTATTCACAATGAATAACTAAAGTGCAATGAATACTTGTCAATGTTCAATCATAACCCACATGAAGACAAACTCAGGAGATAAACTGATCTGCTGAAGAGGATCCCAGAAGGATGGGGGTCGAAATATACACATCAG